TTCTCTTTGCTAGATAGATGATTAAGATTATGAAATTATGTTGTTGCAGTAATATTCTTGTGAAAGGGATTACAATCATAGCTCCAATTTCATCTCCAAACACAGGATGGCATCAACCCAGGTTATAGTCAATTGAAATATCATTTCAGCCACCTCATTAATTGACCTTTAATTTGTGTTTCTTTTTACAAAATCGATGTTCTAATTTACTCTAATTTGCATGAAAGTAGGTTTGAACTTAGATACAAGTGGCCGAGTACACTAACTGGCCTAACTCATATCTCGAACTTTTGGTATTTTATTGCAGATTCTTGCACCAATACGAGAATAAAAGACTGCTACATAGCATTCGGAATGCCTACAAAACAACTAGTAATCCGACGGCTCATATGCATTTCTCCCTACAGCGCCACCATCGCATTAGGAAGCGAAATGTCCAGCGGGATCCAAGATGTCCGAGCCGAAGACATCGTGGCCATCCGTACTGAATCGGGTGTTCAGATCAAGACAGTCGTAGGGAGAGGAAGGTACGTGAAAGACGTATACGCGAGAAGATTCACCATGTGCACAATGAAATGGGCGTTTTGGATGACCGGCAATTACGGGTCACATGCTGATGGAAAATATGATAAAAAAGCAGTGTCTGAGATCAATAATATTAACTACAAGGACATGGTGGCAGATAACGGAACAATGGCTGCAAGCCAACCACCTGTTCACCGGGATTTGCATCTCGAATGTGATAATTAGACTGGCGGCGAAAGCGAAGCAGCAGCCGTGGATGTGCTCTGATGTTGAAGGGATAACGAGCGGTGTGATGCCTCGCCCTTGTGATCTGCTGCCGAATCAGGGTGCTGAGAAAGCTACAGCTTGTGATTTTCCGGCAGATGATCTGCCAATTGACTTGGTGGAGCTCAAACAATGTACTTATATGATGAGCTCTCTGTAAACAATCCTAAAATCATGTACTATTACTAGTGTTTATACCATACTTAGGGCCTCCGTATTTAGACCTCGTATAAATACTCGAGGGACTCAAATGTAATTATGTAATAAAGGAATGGGCAAATATGTAAAAAGGGGAGGAGCCCTTATTCTATAAAGGGGCCTCCTCACCCTCACAAACCCTAAGCCTCTCCTATCTAGAGCAAAGCTCTCACACTCTTTCCCTCACAAATACTCTCAGAGAAATACAATCAGTGTGGACGTAGCCCAAACCTTGGGGTGAACCACGATACATCTTGTGTTATTTACATTTCATGCAGATTCACGGTCGGATTTACGTTGTTCCAAGACCTCTGGTTTTGTGCATCAACATTTGGCGCCGTCTGTGGGAATCGACACAAAAAACTATGTCGGTTTTCTTTCATTTGTTCATCTCACCACACTACACCGTGAATCTGCAGAAACCAAGAACCCAAATCTTTTCCAAAAAACCCCCCACAAACAGCAAGCCACCATGTTATCTCCTTTTTCTTTCTCTCTCTATTCGTTTTTGTATCCTCAGAGAGAGATCTGATAAAGAGTGTTTTGTGGTGTGAGGATACAAATTGAACGGTCCAGATCAACCCCAACCTTCTTCCCCAGTGTGTTTGGTGGCCGAGCCTTTCGTAAACGGCGAAGGACTAGTAGAAGAGAGAGAATCTTCACTTTCACCTCTGTGTGTTAGCGATGGCGCCGAAGCTAAGCATTGCAGCGGTGGTCAAAAACTCAGATCTGATTCCTCTCATCAACAAGGGCCAAGCTCACAAGGCTCAGAGCTAACATTACTCCTGGTGCCGTGTTGTCATTCTTGCCAGGTTCATGGGGAAGAGGGTTGTGTTTCTAAAGCACCGGATCGCGGGGCATCGCTAACACCAAGAAGCATCAAAGCTTCATCCAAAAGTCGCTGGTCAACCTACCCAGATCGCGGGGCATCGATCTCGTTCGGATCGACACTGAGCGCTCGCTAGCAGATCAGGGGTCGTTCGACTGCGTGCTGCACAAGCTCTACGGAGACGATTGGAACTAACACATTCATGGCCCAACCCTAACTCTGACCCTATGCAGTGGACCCGACCAATAAAGTTATGATCTGGGACGACCACCAGGGGCGGTGCATCGGGGGGCTCTCATTCTGCTTCGTTGTCCGGTTTGTGCGGCTCCAGAAGGACCGAATCGTCATCATTTTAGAACAGCAGAAAACCCACACTGAAGTCACCATCCGCAGTTCTGCTTTTTTTCTTCTGATTGCTCCAATTTCAACCCGTCCCAACGGCTTCAAAATCTCTCAGTCAAACATCCACTCCATCACCAATGACAATCTCATCATCAACATATTCAACAGCTTGTCCACCGCCTCTTGCACAGAGGCTATGCAGTCCATGCTGCACTCCAAAAGCATCACAGTATCATAGTGTTTTGATGACGAATTGGTAAAGAAGAAGAAATTGAGAGTATTCCGTTCAGACCCCTTTGACTACCACGTGGAGTACGACACCAAGGTTCACCAAGTGGACAAGCTCATGGAGATGGGAAGGAAGGAAGAGTGTAGGGCTGTCGGGGATCCAAGGTTTACGTTCTTTATAGCTGGAGTACAACAGCTTCTGTTCAAACAGCAGAAAAGAGAAAAGTGAAAAACAGAAACAAAAGCAAAAGTAAAGCAGAAAAGGAAAAGAGAAAAGAAGAAAAGGGGCAAAATTATAAGGTTCCTATTATTACGATTCCTTTTATCTACCAGGTGAAGAGACAAAGAGAGTGCGATGGAAAGCAGAAAGCAAAAGCAAGGAATAAACACCCCACCAGAATAATGTGATTTACTTTTCTTGGCAGATGTATGATGTGATTTACTTTTCTTATCTTTTGGAGACATCTGTATAAACCCCGTCAGAGGGAAATAAAATTAAAAAAAAAACGGCAAAGCCCAAAATAAATGGGCTGGAATGTTGTGTGAAGGGCGAAGGCCCATAAGCCTAAAATAGCTCCAACCAGGTGATCAAAAGTACGCCTAGTACTCTACAATTATTCGACAACCTGCCGCTATCACCACCAACCAAGTGATCAAAAGTACTCCCAGTACTCCACAATTATTCGGTAACCTGTCACTATTACCACCAACCAGGTGATCAAAAGTACGCTCAGTACTCCAAATTTATTCAGCAGCCTGCTGCTATTACCACCAACCAGGTGATCAAAAGTACACCCAGTACTTCAAAATTATACATGAGCACGACTTATGTCAATCATACATAAACATACATGAGCATCACTCATGTCAACATTCATGAGCATCACTCATGTCAACATTCATGAGCATCATTCATGACAACATCCATGAGCATCACTCATGTCAATCAACATAAACATTCATGAGCATCACTCATGTCAATCAGCTTCAAAAGCTTCATTTACAAAGCTCTAGCTTCAAAAGCTTCATTTACAGAGCTCTAGCTTCAAAAGCTTCATTTACAGAGCTCTAGCTTCAAAAAACTTCATTTACAAAAGCTCTAGCTTCAAAAGCTTCATTTACAGAGCTCCTACTTCAAAGCTTCACTTGCAAAGCTTCACTTGCAAAGCTTCACCTGCAAAGCTTCACCTACAAAGCTTCAGTGCAGGGTATACAATTACCGCCTACGAACAACCGCCACTTCGGCCCATACATGGATTCAATTTGAAGTCTCCAGCCAACAGACTCTATTGACCGAAGACTTGGGGGACTACATTATGTACCATATATTGGGCCCCAACTGGGCCTCATGAAAAATACTTGGGGGACTCTAGCCCATTATTTACGTATTGAGGAGCGAGCCCTTATAAAAGGGACTCCTTCACCATCATTAAAGAGCATCAACTCTAGCCCATTAATTATGTATTGAGGAGCGAGCCCTTATTTTATAAAAGAGACTCCCTCACCATCATTAGAGTAGCATCAACTCTAGCACATTATTCATGTATTGAGGAGCGAGTCCTTATTCTATAAAAGGGACTCCCAACTCTAGCACATTATTCATGTATTGAGGAGCGAGCCCTTATTCTATAAAAGGGACTCCCTCACCATCATTAGAGAGCATCGCCGCCTACTGAGCAACCGCCTCGCCGCGAACATCAACTTTAGCCCATTATTCATGTATTGAGGAGCGAGCCCTTATTCTATAAAAGGGACTCCCTCACCATCATTAGAGAGCGTCACCGCCTAGTGAGCAACCGCCTCGCCGCGAACATCAACTCTAGCCTATCATTCATGTATTAAGAAGCGAGCCCTTATTCTATAAAAGGGACTCTCTCACCTTCAACGCCACAAGCCGAGCCAACCAAAGCAACATAAGCCACAAGCCAAACAACCTCGTAACATGTGCAACTTCTATATGAGCATCATTTCAGATTGAGCACTGCCTCATATCGAGCATCAGTTCAAGGCAGCATCTAGTTACTTCAACCCACACATAGATTGAATTTCAAGTCTTCAGTCAAGAGATCCAGCCAAAAGACTCTCTTGACTGAAGACTTGGGGGACTACTGTTTATACCATACTTGGGGCATCCGTATTTAGACTTCGTATAAATAATAGGGGAACTCAAATGTAATTATGTAATAAAAGAAGGGGCAAATATGTAAAAAGGGGAGGAACCCTTATTCTACAAAAGGGCCTCCTCACCCTCACAAACCCTAAGCCTCTCCTATCTAGAGCAAAGCTCTCACACTCTCCCTCACAAATACTCTCAGAGAAATACAATCAGTGTGGACGTAGCCCAAACCTTGGAGTAAATCACGATACATCTTGTGTTATTTACATTTACATTTCATGCAGATTCACGATCAGATTTACGTTGTTCCAAAACCTCCGGTTTTGTGCATCAACAACTAATATTTTTCACCGTCGCCTAGTAAAAGCTAAATTATCAGACCGCCATAAACCCTTGCTATTTTTTTCCCTCCAGCAATATTTCAAGTACATGAAATTCGGAAGGAAAATGATTGTTGCACACCCTCTTTCTCCTTCGACACACCCCTGTTATTAGAAGTTTCTAAGCAAGGCATTTTATTGATTTTCACAACGAAACTAAGCGGGAATTTGTCTCGTAGGAGTCCTAACAGTGGAAAGAAGCCCGAAGGCGAAACGCATAATATACAGAGAGTCAAGGGTTTTCATGACAAAAAGCAACTGTTCACACTTGGACTACCATTCTAAACAGATACAACTGCAACACTATCGGATCTTACATCGGTGCTGGCCAGTGATAGTCCTCATCGGATTATAAGCCGCTAACCAGCACGAACCTGCACCACTGAGGGATTGGAGCTCTAGAGACTCACATATTAGAATCCCTTTCACACATTTAACAGATACAGACATCCAAATACGTGTTAATGTTGAATGAATGACATTTCAGGGCGATTTCTCAGGAAATCCCGATTGGTCCAGCAAAGTTTTTATAATTTCATTCTCCTGGAGGATCCAGTGGGTTCTATGTAGAATATGATTGTAATCCGTTTTGAGATTACTTTCTAAGAGCATACGACAGATTATACGATGACCCTCATTGAATAGGATCCGGATTGAACCTTACGGACTCTCTCCAGATGAGCTCCTTGATATTCTCTTCAGTAAACGAGGGTTGCTCAAAATCAAAATTGAAAGGCATTGGGCAGACAGGCTCCTCGTTTATATCATGAAGAGGCGCCAAGTATGGGTGGCAAAGAGCCTCATCAACTGCAAAGCACCAGGGAGAAAAACAATCGTCAATGCAATTAACAAAGAAGAAAATCATCAGCGAGTAAAATGGCTCCAGTTGCTCTATTAATAAGCTCTCACAAAAGTTATATGCACAATTTGTTTACCAAGCATTCTTAAAGTACTGCAGAACTCCGTATTTGAGAATGACAATACATGCACTGCTGTTTCTAAATCTAAACATCACAAAACTTTCCGCCAGAAGATACAGGAATTGTAACTAGTAAGTTCCAGTTCATAGAAAATCCTGCAGGACTCTAAGATCCCCAATATCATGTCATAACCAAACTGGTTGAAGTGCAACACAATAACTAAGTATACCTGTAATACGCCTGTTTGGGTCAAAGATAAGCATCTTCTCTAGCAAATCTATAGCGCTAGGAGACATATCAGGAAACCCAAGAGAGAAGCTCCGCTTTGGGTACTGAGGTAGTTGTCGAACATATCTTCGAGCATTATCACTTCGTAAAAATCCAAGGCTGGAGTCATCAGGTGAGCCTAAGAGCTGTTGAACACAAAAGGAAAACATTGCACCAGTTGGCCAAGATCGTTTGAAAGATTATTATTATGAGACACGTTCATTGTCTACTTCACACCCATAACTATACAAATTAATCTTATTAGAAATTCATTATTAATACTTTCCAGAGAATCAGTACAGTTTATGCACTGTCTAACACTGGGCAACAAGAAACATAACCAAATGTAAAGCAGATGGAACCTCTTCCGCTCGTTAAGTGAAAAAAAAGGTTTTCTCCGAATTCTCATTAAAAGTATGACCTGTTTGTAATGTAGAAACCAGTGGCATAACAGTCTAAATTCAGTTAGAAAGACCTAAAAATCATACCTCTGTTATGAGTCTCAGCTGATGTACATAATCTTTGCCAGGGAATAGGGGTTTTCTGTTCATGATTTCACCTAGAATGCAACCTACAGACCATATATCGATTGCTGCAGTGTACTCCGAACAATTAAGCAGCAATTCAGGTGCACGGTACCAACGAGTAACAACATACTCAGTCATGAAATCAGTTTCGGATGTTGTCCTTGCGAGACCAAAATCTCCAATCTTAAGGTCACAATTTGCATTCATGAGCAAATTGCTGGGCTTTAAATCACGATGTAAAACACCTGCTGAATGTACATATTTGAGCCCTCGTAACAACTGGTACAGAAAGTACTGCAAAGGTGGAATTTAAACAACAAATTAGTGAGATCTCAGATATGTATAACCGAAATCATGGTCATGAGAATGGTTGATAATCAAGGCTAAAATGCAGAGAATTTTATCTTAGTTATCGCAAGTAAAAGTTCTAAACTATAGTCACTCCGAATATGAAAGGTTCAGAAAACTAGGAAATGTAAATCCATCGTTCAAGTTCCAACTAAAGAATAAAAGAAACATGTCATCTCATTGATCTACAAGCTAACAAAGCAAAGGACCAGAACCTTGTTTTTAAGATGAGAGGAACATCATTTCTCACGATTTATTATCAAGCTATGGAAATATATATGAAAAGATTCGACTGCATATAAAGCTATCAATGTGTACCATATTCATTAGTTGCTTAATTCAACCTACTTCAGTGACAAGCATATATTGCCATCACCGATAACCTAACAAATAGAATCTGGAATATAACTATGAAATCTTGGTTGTTTGAACAAAACAACAACAACAATAAAGCCTTTTCCCATTAAGTGGGGTCAGTTGTATGAATCCTAGAACGTCATTGTGCTCGGTTCGAACAAACAGAAAAAGAAATTAATGTCAACAATTCATTGCCCTCCTGAGGATTCTCATCCACATGAACTACAAGAACGTACAGTTACTATATTCAAATGGCATTACAAACATAATATAAACCAAGAAACTATTCTTAAAAGCTTAAAAACTTTCCATAGGATGCTCAACAATACTAACTTCAAGAATCAAATGGCATAGCAAGTATAACATAAACAGATTGACCAAAAACAAAATGTACAACAAAAATTAAGAAAAGAAGGCCAACCCGACAATGATCATCATTTAATGGTTGGTTGGACCGTATAATCTGATGAAGATCAGTGTCCATTAATTCATAAATAATGTAGACATCATTGAAGTTCTCCTTCTGTGGAGGCCGTATGATGTCTTTGATGGCAATAACCTGCAGAAAGAACTAACTTGTAAGCTGTTGACTCCAGAAATACAGGAAAAAATTATTTAGCATGATCTGGATTCTTAAGTTTTTTTATCAAAATATGTGCAAACAGGGAGAACTGAGTTCATGAGAGATCTCATTTAGGTGCTTAAGGCAGGGTTTTATTGCAGGGAAACACTGCCCATTCTAGAAACCCTTGTATGAAACCCGCATTGCGGCTGGTAGAGCAGTAGTCAAAACATGCCCCCTCAAGGCCTCTGAAATATATTTGTATATCAACAGAACTACACAAAATAATCATTTTAAGTGAGTCTTCTACTACCACAGGTTGCAAAAGATGGAATTCTTTAAACACATGTACAAGAAAAGCCAATTGTTTTAAGGGGCCAAACACAAAATATCTGCAAGCCTGTTACATAGGATGTACATAAATGACATAAGAGATCCCCATAGGAACATGAACGACAGAAGGTCACAAAAAATTACATTTTCATGATCCATGTGCTGAAGAAGTTTAATTTCTCGTAAAATCCTTTTGGCATCTATTCTGTTGTCAAATGCATTACCAATCTTCTTAATGGCAACCTCCTCACGAGTCTCAGCGTTGACAGCAGCACTGAATGCAACCAAAAAAATCATCTACTTTCAAATTTGTTATAACTCATACGATGTAAGTCAAATGAATAGAAACAAATTCTCATTGATAAACTTTACATATCACATCATTCACACGACCAAAAAAAAGAAGACTGCATCTGAGACACACTACTTCACTAAGTCACAATGACCCAATACAGAGAGATAGAAGACTTAGAGATATACCAAGAGGGAAGACAGAGTCAATTTCAGTATTGAAAGAAGGGGCAAGGGGAGATGGAAACTAATATGGGTGGAATTTGCAAGGAAGGATTTCAATTAGAGATGGAATAAATATTTGAGCTATGAATAGGCTAATAGGCAGAAAGATTCACATTGACAACTCTAAAAAACACGGAATACAACTTGATGTGCTCAATCCTGATTTTCTAGGATAATGGCTTAGCTGAGCTCAGCAGAGCATATATCTCTTCAAGATATACTCAAAAGAACATTGATGACGCACGGTTTTTTTCAACTTCAATATTTTCACAGAATTGCAATCTCATTGAGACAGCTAAAATCCACTTGTGGACTACAACTTCCACCAAAGGATACATAGCACATTACTAAACCCAGCTTAAAAACACAAATCAACAGCTTTGAAATCTCATTTAAACCACATGGAAATATGAATAAAACTGGATTACTGCACACAAAGAAACCAACTAAGCTTCCCTACACCTCAAGTTATTTCCTGATTACATACACAAAATTCCCCAACCAACAAAACTTCCCCACCGCAAAACACCAAAAATCGCATTAACTCCACAAGAAAACAAAACCCACAAAAATAAAAATAATCCCTAACAAATCCAGATAAATTTCCTGAGTAAAATCTCAAAAAATTCACAATCCACATATACTCAGATTAAATTAACTAAAAGTTAGATCACGATCAGAAAGTGCTTTTCCCGCTTCTTGAACCAAACTAACTCAAATCCACTTTCTATAAACAGCAGGAACTTCAAATAGTATAACAAAACTATTCTCAAAGATTTCAAGCAACAGCAATCAAACAATCAAAAGGAAATCCAAAGATAACAAATTAAAACTAAAATCTCAAAACCCAGTAAAGATAACAAGAAAAGCTCAAACCCAATAAAAATTGAATCTTACCAGACGATACCATAAGCCCCTCTGCCGACGGGCCTAATGGGCGGGACATACTTCCTGGAAACTTCAAAGAGGTTGCCATACACATTGTACTGAACGTAGCGTCCGCCGTGGGTCGGCACCCCTCTGATGTTGTGGTCACTAGCCGGAGCAGCGCCGGACTCCATGGTCAACCCGGGGGTCCGAATCCGAAAAGGTTCGAGACCCAGATAGGATTTCCGGTCTAGAAAGCTAAGAGAGAGAGAGAGCTGTGGAGGAGCTTTAGAGGTAATGGAGGAGGAGAGCTGCTACTAATGCAAAATTCGGGGAGGGGTGTCTGTAGCTGTAATTTGAAAAGGTTTTCACATTTCTTTCTTTCTTTTTGGGGTTTTTGGGAAATTCCAAAGAAATCTGGGGAGTAGTGTGCAAGGGGAGAGAGAGAAAGAGCTTTCAAGGAGGGCTTTTGAACTGGAAAACACTGGGGTGACCCGTGAAAGAAATGGACTTTTTAACTCTTCTTTTTGTGAGGTTTTGGTGTGGCGTCTTGATTTTATGTGCTTTGAATTTACTTTTCCCTTAAAATTAGCGGAAAATAATCACTTAATGCTATGGTCTAATAGTATTATTTTTATAAATGATAGGTTTTAGATTTGATTTTCGTCAAAGAAAAATTTAAACCACATTATTACTAGCTCATTATGAGACTAAACTTATCTCTTCCCTTTAATGTAGATGATTTCATTTGTTAAAAAAATATAGCCAAAAATATAACTAAAATTTAAAATCGTGTTGGGTTTTGATCGGAGGGCTTTCCTTGGATCCTTAGATCTTGGTTTAAAAATATAAATATCAAATCTAACGATTAAAACAACTGAGAATACTTGTTACTCCAAAGTAGCTAAGAAGTTTTGTTGAAGGGAAAGTCAAAAGTCTTCTCATGTTTTATAATAGTAGAATAATATTCTTTTTACCGATATTGATCATTTATAATACTAATCATTCACGCGTGCATAAACAAATGACATGAAGTAATAATAAAGCAGCACAGGTTCTCTCGTTTTGAAAAAAATATTGCCCTTTTGGTCACATTGTTATGTGGGAGCATTTTATTGACTGTCATTCGGATAGTGTTGATTGTCATTGAGCAAGAATATTTAATACTCAATTGTGACGTACGACTCAAGTACATTCACCGATGAGTAATTCAATGGTGATGATTCAAGCATATTCACAGATGAGTAATTCATTAATGGTGATGACTCAAGTATATACACCAATTAATTGTTTCAAAATGGAAAGAAATAGTTATTTAATACTACAGTATAGTGATATTCCTCTTCACTTGTAAGTGAGAGATTTTAAGTTCGATTCTCTCCAAAAATGAATGTGAACTACATTATTACTAACTCATTGTGAACAAAGCCTACTATCTCACCCCCGATACTATAAAAAACAATTTGAGAAAGGCTAAAAGTCGAAGTTTTGAACTTTTGAACTTTGGTTCTAATTGAATTCTTGAAATAGATAAGTAGGGCACTCATGCCCTTTGAATAGGTGGTGGTTGGGGTGGTATCTTTAGAGGGTAGATGATTTCTAAAGAGATTGGATTTGATCCATTGGTTTGGTAGGTGGAATATGCAATGTTGAAAGTGACCTAATTAAATTACCACCGTATGAACTTATGTATGCATACATTCACGTTATGCAAAAGCAAAGTCTTCCATTTACAAGTCAAATCGTAACGCTTATGCCATTTTTGACATTTTTGTGTTGGACAAATAAAAGAAATTAGAAAGCACCAGTCTCTGCGTAATGGAAACGCAGACTGGACAATCACATTCCACATTCCACTTTCTTCCTCCTGGTGCATATTATTCAACCTAAACCTTTGAGTCTTACGTCTTGGTTGGGGGAAGCGTATCATACATTTTTTTATCATATATACAAACTATCAGGCCCTTTAAAGGAAAGAGATTTTCATTTTTTTATAGAAAAAATGAGAATTAGTTGTGGAATTCACTTCATATTCAACTTTAACGATCCGAATCGCCTATTTTATAAGTCTTAATTCAAAAATCATCATTAAAAAATTTAATTCAATTCGAAACCATTTGCCTATTTAATTATTACAGTGAAATTTCAATGTTTTTTAGAGAACAAGTGTTTGTCTATTTCTTTAAACTCAATTATATGTCTCAAATATTTCTAATTTGGCTAATATTTTATAAAAATGATCTATGAAATGCAACTTGAAAAAAATAAACAGTTTGGATTTTTATAAAAAAATGAAGATGTCTTCCCTTAAAAGCTTCCTACAAACTATATATACAATCATTGATTGGTGGGATATTCATGATGGAATCATTTTAATGCACTTGCCGTCAATGACGGATCCAAGAAATAATATTAGGGGGGTCAATAAGAATAGCGAGCGCAGCGTGCAAATTTTTTTTTTAAACATAAATAGCATGCATATCGTCATTTCATCGAATCTTGGTAGGTTTGAAGTCATTTGGAAAAGCATACTGCATACATGTTAATGCTTCATTTGCGTGGGTAACTAATATGTTCCAAGGCCACTCCCATATGAATGCTTAACAAAGAAACACACTTATCTTGAACACACTAACAATGTTTGATATCATTGCATCCCATTAATATGTTTGTCCGAGAATGATGATGTTTTGTTATTCTCTAATATCACCATTTCATTTACTTTGCATGCATTTTTGGATAGTTTTTTACTTGGTTCTTTTTTTCTTCCTACAATTGTAATCATAACCAACAAATAAGCCAAAGGTAAATAATATTAGGACTAGACTGTAAAGAGGCAACACCTCTCTAATGCATTTTATCAAGTAGTTAAAGGGCATATATGAAGGGCAACTCCAACATTTAAAGGGGAAGCACCCAAGTCATCTATGGACATTCACTGAAGTTCGAAGAGTTAGCACTCAAAGTTATCCTTAGACATTCACCGAAGTTCAGGGGGGCCAACTGACCCCCCTGCCCCTCAATATATCTACCCCTGCTTGTCGCCTTACGTCTTCATTCACTTAAAACATTACGTGATTGTAGACGTAAGTTAGCTTAGTTGGTAAGGAAGTGTTTGCCCTCTTTTGATCCTCGTCATATCGAGTAATCAAGTTATATCATGTGCATAAAGACCGTTATGATTATGCGTGTGCACACACATTGTCTGAACTCTAGTTGTCAAGTGATGAAACCAATAATACTTCACCAAATTCCAACCGTTGCCATTTGCCACCAATCCTACTTTACTTGCGCTTCCACTATGGGTAGTGTCAAGTTCAGTTGCGCACCAGCGGAGATTTAGGGGCTGATCTGGCCACTTAATAATGACCAGAATCTGCCCAAAAGTGCACGACTAAATATCTTGATTCTAAATTGAATACTCATGCAAGGCACCCTAAGACTTGTCTTCTAAAACCCCGTGTTCTTGACCAAAACTTGTAAAGCTTTTTGGAATTTCTCGAATCTCATCCAAACCAACTGTAGATGAACATTCGATCTGACCTTGACTGGACTGGTTGTTTACCAGTCTGTGTTTGGTGCAAGAAGGGACTACAATTAATGACACTAAGTTGGACCCGTGTCAACTAATTCCTTCGCTAGTTGTTCTCAACGAGACCCCGAAAACTAGGGGATTGCTAATCCCGTCTCCACCACCTCCCGTGAACCTAGTCACCAAAATCATGCCTTCTCACCGATCTCCATCATCCCATGAACCCAACCCCCTCTTGGCTTCCCGACGAACCCACAGCCCAGATTTCCCTTCTTTGCTTCACAAAGGAACACCTTTATCGATATGCGGAAATGGGTTTTCATTTTCGTCGATTGAACAGGAATCAGACCCAGAAAACTTAGGACTCGAGAACGATCTCCGCAATTCAGCAGCATCCGCGACCCAAGAGCTCCAGCTCTTGCGCCAAGTCGTTTCCTTTGAGGCGAAACAAATAAATACAAAATTTCAAACTTTGAAGAAAAAGAAGACCAAAGTAATTTGAGGTGAAGCGGGAGGAAATAGGGAGAGGGGAGGAGACAGTGGTACAGAGAACAGTGGGCGAAAATGGGGGAAACAGGGGAGAGGGGGAAGAAGACAGTGAGCAGAGAAACAAATAGGAAAAAAGATGATTCTAGAAAAATACAGTAATAATATAATATTAATAGATATAGATTAAATTAATAAGGAAATATTAATAGATAATGATTAAGTAACACAATATAAGAGTCTTGCTTCTTAGCTCAACTATGCACCAAACGTTTCACTAAATCAGTTCAGTTTAATCTGTTCTAAGCAAGTTCAGCTTAGTCCTAAAGTTAGTCCGGTTCGAGATAGTCCGGTGCAACAAATGCATTCTAAAAGTCCTAAATGATAGTTGGGATTAACCGAAAACTTCCATGGAAAACGTTTGAGGATGATGAAGCAGCAAGTGGTTAGAACCAGATACAAAGGACACATTCTACGAACACCTTCTTCTGATTGCAAAATGCACACCAAAGTCATGTCTACAAAAATTCAATGTATCAAATACCTGTTTGTCACACCGAGTGAGAAACTTCCCGCTGGTAATCATCCACGGCAGAAGCTAGACATCAAAAACCGTCAGCAAGTGAATTTTGATAATAAACTACAGGCGAAAAGAAAGTAAATGTATCTTCAAACTTAAAAGACCTCTGGGAAAAGCATGAAAAAAAAAAAGGTTCGAGTGGTGCGATCCCCGGACCAACGCCGAGGTATTGACAGTGATTCTCAAATATCGCAGAACAGAACCAGCAGTACAGAACCAGCAGTCGAATAGCAGACTCCCACAATTTCAAACCAAACCCTTTTATATATCATTAGCAATCCATTGTACAACATTACACTTAGACACGCCAGTACAATAATAATATAACTACTATAACTCACAACATACCGATTACAAACCATACACGATCGTATACTAACAAAAATAAGAAAACATAAAACCCCATACCTAAAACCATCTTTATATATAAGAGAGGTTGGCTTGCTAAGATCATCATTCATCTCACCAACCGACCTTCCACATTTCCCGTCAGCATCCGTTCTGAGACTGATCCACCTGATCTTAGTTTGGAAAGCAATGTATCACGTCCTGCTAAAAGGATTTGGAAAAAGCCATCCACTTCTTTTGTAAGAAGATCTAGCCCTTGAGAAAGTTTCTGCGCCTTCCTGTCCAGGTCTGAAACAGAATTCTTGAATGTGTTCCCTTCAGCGAGGCCAACGCCATCTTGGATCTTGGGATACAGTTCCTTAACAACATCATCAACTGCTTCCAGCTCTTTCAGTACCATGACTCTTCCACTAGAAAATACATTTCTAATTTCCCCATTTACATTACCCTGTAAATCGTTAAACGCTTGTGCCCACAAATATGTCTCTGCAACATTCAAGTCTAACAACTTCTTTGCGGAACCAGAAAAGGCGGCAGCAAAGACACTACAAACAGATACTGTCAACACCTTAACTCCATACATAGCACGCATCAAAAGTTTCCCTTTTGCTGAGTTCTTAACCTTCGGAAGGTCAAGGGATTCCACAAGCTTGTCCAAAATGGTGCTACAGTTCTCAACTCTGGGGTTTGTTGAACCAATATGATGCCTCCATCCATCAAGTGAAGAACGGGCCCGAATAAATTGGTCCGAAGAAGTTGAATCCAAATTATGCAAGACGCATTGAAGATAAAGATGCCCCTGGTTTAAACGTGAGATCTCAGAGCTAAAAGCAATGCATACATCGAGCAACTTCACACTGATGTCCAAGTACACATCAATCCATTTCTCATCCCAGTTACTCACAGGGAGATCGATTTCAGCTATGAGAGATTTTATGTCATTATGAGTTCCACAGAGAGACTCCATAGCTAATTTCATCCATGACAAGCTGAGGACATCATCCTTGTCTTTTGGGTTAAGCTTTCTTAGCCTCCCAGCTAATGTTTCCTCAAAAGTGTTCAACAGTCCAAGAAGCCTTGGAGACAGCTGGGAACCCTTTGGTGCAATCATCTTAAAGGGATTTCCGAAATGGAAGAACGGTCGGTGTGGTTCTTGTGGACGACTCATTATTGTGTATTCACTGCAAGAAGAAGAAAATGTGATCAGATATCGTATAGGAAATCAATCTCAAAAGGCATCCAAAACCAAAAGTGAGGAAGACTTAAACATGATGAGATATCACGTTGTATATCAGCCTCTATAGTCATCCGAGAGATGACAGCAGAAGAAAAAGTGAATTCAACAAACATATTATCCGGGAGACATAAACATGATGAGTTATCAGGTTGTAAATCAGCCTCTCTAGTCATCCGGGAGATGACAGCAGGAGAATTCTAACAAACATATTATGCAACCTTCCACATGATTCCAGGCAGTAGAATAACAAAATTATGTAAATGACCAACTAAGCAGTAATCACCGAAAACATAAGCCCAGTTGAGTTGACAAAATCAGCCGCAAACAGATAAACCGAAAAGCACAGGTACGTCCCGTTCATTTCTTCCATTATAATAGCATGCAATTTCAACAGTTCAAACAATTTCATGCGTGTTTGATGAGTTATTACCACTCTTCAAGCAACATTCAAAATCAATTTAACCAAGTTAAGCATATACGAAACAATAAGCTATGACTCCCTCCCCCAAACCACCAAAAAACAAATCCTCTTCATCCCAAACCACCAGAAAACAAATCCTCTTCATCTTATGTTTCTCTTTACGGAATTATAAAAAATTTAAAAAATTTAAAAAAAAAAGAAAAACAGTTAATCTGAACCTTATCTGAAATTCTGTATTCCACCTGACAGAACCAATACAACGAAGCAAAGAAAAATCTGTATGACAACGAAAATAAAAATAGCTTACATGCTTTGCTACCTATTTTCGGCCATTTCGTACAGTACCAAACGGGCAGCGAACAAATACCAACACTCAAAATCCTACCCATACCTAATTAATAACAAAACCCCCAAATTTCTACACAAACGTTTAAACTTTCAAGTCATAAATTTTAGCTTCAAAGATATAAACACCAACCTCACAAAATTATAAGCTTCTAAAACAAAATTAAACAAAAATTAAAGCTAACCTAATCAAATCACATACAGATACATAAAAAGAAATAAAAATTCAAATCAGAAATACAAGCATAATCAAACAACATATACAAAAAAAATTAACAAATTAACATTTCTAGGAATAGACCCACTCACCTACCTAACCGTTAGATCTTCAGAAATCTACACCGAAATTTGATAAATTGAAAACAAAAAACCCTAACCCTAAAGTCAATCTATGCGAAACAGAAATTGGGAAAGAAAAAAAAAAGTAAACTTGAAACAATTTAGCCTAATTATATTTTAAACAGAGAGAGAGAGATATATTTGTACCTGATTCAGAGGAGAAATCGAGAAATTTCGACGAAAGATTGGAGCTTTGGCGACTCGGTATTTGGATGTCTTCGTTGAAAATGTGAGGCTGCTGTTTACAAGTGGGTGAAGGACAGTAATAGGCTCACCCGAGGATGTAAGGGGAGAGGGCGACACGTGGGCGTCGGTGATATTTCCGTTGAGGTTCGAGGACCTTCGGTTGTTATGCTGGGGTTGCACGTTGACGGAACGGACGGTTTCGATTGTGCTTTGTGTGCGACGCGGCCGGGTAACGTGGCTGTCACCACCAGATGAACGGTATTGATGGTTAGAGGATGGGTTTTGTTACGGGCCTTTGAGCTTGGGCCCTGATTTTTTCGTGCACGTTTTCTTCCATGTATACATTTGTTCATATTTCACTTTTAAATTGAATTTCAATATAAAAAATATGATTTATATCACAAATGGTTTTTGAAATTGATTAACACCATTAAAATTATTTCTAATTTTGAAAATCTATCAAGGTAGTTCTTGAAAATAGGTGTCACAAATAAATGTGGTCCTTCCGTCATAATTTTATCAAAAATTATGTTATGTGTTGATGTTGCATATAAATGGGGCCCACAACATGTAAAAGTTTTTATCACAATTGCTCAGTGAAATTAACTCACACAATCAAGATGGTCCCTGAATTAGAAAATTGGTCAACGTGGTCCTTGAAAAATAGGTGTCACAAATTAATGTGGTCATTCGGTCACAATTATGTTATGTACTGATGTGGGTTTAATAATTAATTTAAAAAGTTGTCAAAACACCTTTTCACACAATGAGATTATCTCAAGGCTGAGCTTGCCATTCTCCGCGTCACCAAGATCACTAGGGGAGTGCCCAACAAGCTCTTCGAGATTAAGGTTGTAAGGTTGTTGATCACCCAAATGTAGACGATAGAGTCACAAAAGTTGTCACCAATCCAAGCCATAACCAAAGGTGGTTTCCATCCTAGTCCAATATGATGAAGGGTGTCAAAGAGTGAAAAGGATGGTGTCTTGAGAATTTTCTTTTTTAGGGAAGAGTTGGCTAAGGCTACCATATATGGAAGTAGAGGAGTGGGTTGGGCTCATAGGTGATTGTGGGACTGAGTTTTTGTGTTGACAATTTTTTTAATTAACTATTAAATTATTAAACCTATTTCTAGTTTTTTTTTTTCTTTTTTGCTGAAGAAATTCATTTTTTATTTAGTTAGACTATTGGGTCCATTTATGTATCACATCTGCACATAACAAATTTTTGATAGAATTAAGACAAAATGACCCCATTGATTTGATACATCTATTTTAGGATTATATTGATTAATTTTCGATTTCAAAGATCATCTTTATGGTGTGGGTCAATTTCAGGGTCCATTATGATTTAAAAAAAAAAAAACTTGTGGGAGCCATTTATGTGTCACATCAGTACATAACAAATTTTTTTTACAGAATTGTAACAGAATGACCACATTGATTTGCGATACATATTCTTATGGACTATATTAATTGATTTTCAATTTCAAATACCATCTTAATGATATGGGTCAATTTCAAAAATCTTTTGTATATAAATCCTATAAAAAAAATTCGAAATCATTTCCAGAAGATAAAATTTGCTACTGTCTAAATCCAATTCTCAATTTTTTTTTTATTTGGGACTTTAAAAATTAGATTGACTTTTTTTCGTTGATACAAGTGTTACTAATACAACTAGGGAGTGGAATAGAACATATAACGTCAAATGCAAAGACAGTTACTTGATTTACAAATTTCTTATCGAATAACCTTTTTTTTTTTCGTTTGAAACTTTATATATTTGAATTGTGATTTATGATATAGAGAAACTTGTACGTTATTATCATTCGTGAGGTAATAATTGTATAATGGTGATGAAGCTCATGGTGGTGACAAAACTAATGTGTCGAAAATAATTATCCTTACAATTGAGATTTTGTGTAAATTTCTATTTTGTTATCGCTTATATTAAAAACCAAAATACATATAAGATTTTTTTATCTTTTTATTTATTTTTTTTACAATGTAGTAGTCTTGCGAGGTTGATATAACAAGGGTTTTAATAATATTTCTCTCTCTAAAATAAGCCATGTCGGAAATGAGAGAATTAACACAAATTTTCGTATAGGTAAACACTTTTAACTACTTGAATCTTGAATTATAATGTTAAGGGAAATTTTATTTGAACCCATGTAACATCTTTACACCCAACTTAAACTGTAAATGTAAATTACTTTATTATCTTATTGCATAATTACCTTAAAGTACAGGATAAAAACTAATAATAAAAATGATTATAAACCCACACCCAATAATCAAATCTAACCATCACCATCAAGTATCATTCTCCTACGTTCTATTATGACAAAAATCATAAGACACACTTATAGTGAAAAACAAGCCCTTTTGTACGGATGGATAGTAATTTTGAACTATTGACAATCTATACTAAGCCAACTACCCCTTCTCCTATGCCCGGCTGAAATGGGAACGCATGGAGTGGACGGGAAAGGGAGGAGTTTTCTCTTCCTTTTTTGTACAGAGGAAGGGTGGAGGGGTATGGCGTGCATGCAAACCCATCATATTCAATCCCTTAAAAGTTGGACAGAGTTGAGGGAAGAAACAAATAAAAATCTTAATAAAGTTTAATGCAAGCTCAAATTGAAAACATGGAAACATAAACTTGTATGCAGCACATATGATGCACGTGAGAGCCTAATTTCAAAAACATCTTTAACAACTTAAGTCTTTAAATTCTACCCAGGATATGTCAAATAACAACATGCATTGTGCTGCAATTAATTATATTAAAAATTGGCTCTTGCAATGAAACGAATGAGTAAGTAGCAATTCAAGGACTCCCCTCAACAAATCTAATGAGAAAATTGACCAATACTATAAAGTTCTGACAAATACGAACTAACTTAAGAGAGCAACGATGTAGAGGGTGATGGAGACTCCATCAAAAGTAACTGTTGGAAGGAGAGAATGTCAGAGAAGACAATGCTTTGATTTTTTGGTTTTTTATTTTTCATATGGGTGTAAAAGATAAATTTACATATTGAATTGGGTTTGTGAAGGTAGTTTAGGTAGTAAATTTGGGTTTAAAAAGATATTGATAGTTTAATTAAAAATAATATGGGTGCAAAGAGTAAGTTGGATGTAAAGACATGTTAAATGAGTTTAAATAAAATTTTCCTAATGTTAATGGTGCCTAGGCCTGGAAAATTTTCCCGAAAATTCCAAACCAAATAAAAAAAATTCCAATTCTATACCGCAAAATTCTCAAACCGAAAGTACCGATTTTTTTGGAATCCATACCGAACCGATCTTGAACCTTTTGGTATGGAAATAGGGATTACACATTCAATGGTTCAAGAATCTTGAACCGAACCGAACCGAACCAAAAGCCCAAAAGCCAAAATGCAATCCCAATTCATCCCGAAATACCGAAAATATTTCGAGAATTCCGAAAATTAGGAATACTGAAATTTCGATTTGGAATTAGTATTTAAATTCCTGTTCCGAAAATTTTTGATTTGAAATTTGGGATCCCATTTTTTATTTGGGATCTAATACCCAACCACCCCTAGTGGTGCCTGCAAGTTCAATTATTTGGGAATATGGGTCACAACTTGCAAAGTTAATCTCTGCCAACAGTTGTCATTTTCATTGTTAGTTAGAGAAAAGTGATTGGGTGCTTCTAGGGGTGGTTCGGTATGGGATCTCATACCGAAACCCTTGTCCCAATTCCCAAATCAAATTTTTCGAGAATCCTAATTTGAATACTGATCCCAAATCAAATTTTCGGAAATCCCAATTTTCGGGAATCCCGAAATAGTTTCGGGATTTCGGGACAAATCGGGAATCCAGAAATGGTTTTGGGCTTTTGGACTAAAATTTGACATATTATGCTTTTGTAACTCATTGAATGAATTGTTAGATTGTGCAAACATATCAAGCAAGTCTCATTCACATTCTTGGAAGTGATAGATTGTGCGGGCTGGTTAGTCTGAGACTGAGAATCTATTGCATCTCTTGCTGGTTTAAATGCAAATATAATCTCATATCGGGGCACAAGCATTGGATTGCAAACTGTAAACTTTGCTTGAAACCTGACTGACTAGCATTGCTACCTTGCGCTGCTTTGCTGTCCATTTACCAGTAATCTGCATATATAAAATACATATTTACAATGCCAACAAGCTCCATTTATTGGTGTAAACAGTAAAGAGACGCAAGCATAGTAACTAGCTGATCCAACATTCCTTGTTTCGACATAAATAAAACAACATTGCTTACGCCATACCATAATTCATAACATATTCCATTCTCTGTAATAAGTTCAAACCATAAAGTCCATAATCAATTATAAAAGAATAATATATATGTATAAATATATATATATATAATAATTAATAATATATATTTTCGGTTCGGTATGGGATTCCCGAAATATCAAAAAGCCAATCCCGAATCCTGTACCAAAATTTCACGATTGGTTCAGGATAGCATCCCAAAAATTTCGGAAATTTCGGTTTGGGAAATTTTTGATTTGGGATTGGGATTTTTTCGGTTCGGTTCGGGATTTTGTGGAAATTTTTTCCACCCCTAGGTGCTTCTACATGAAGCACAAATGAGTCGGCAATTGTTAGAGCAAAAGACTCATTGCTTACTAATAAGTGTCAATAGTAAATCTCACACTAGGTTTAAGAATTGTAGGCAATTACTTGGGAATATTGGCCCAGCTGCACATTATTGCTTTTTTGACTAAAATTCATGCCCAAGTCAAACATTTCAACTTTTACGCTACGCAAACAAATGCGTTGAAAAGGTCAAAAATATAAACACTAGAAGAAAAACAAATCAGGCGATTGCATTGGTGAAGCAAAAAAAGCAGAGATCTACACATCCTATTTTACTTTTCACATATTTTTTTAATTATCGACTGTTAGATCGGATGAATTAAAGAAGATCAATGGACATAAATTATCAAAAGGTGTATGAGAAGTAAAATAAAATATGTGGATAACACACTCCAAAAGCAAAAGGGTCCTAGAAGTGTTTTCTGGATAACTTGCTACATGCTTCTTCAAAAAGTAGTTGGATTTTCAATAAAAATTTCAACATTTAATAA